TTTTTTTTTTTAAATTTCTATTGTCCATGGGGAAGTTTTGGGAAAAAAATTTCCCCCTCCGAAAAAGCTAGGGGGGGGTTCGTTGGGGGGACAATAAAATCCGGGAGAATTGGCTAGTTTAACCCTTGCTTGTTAAAAATTACATTTTAAAGGGGAAAAGAAAATTTAAATAAAATGGGTTGTTAAATTGGTGCGGGGGGATGTAGTGGAGGATGAAGCAAAAGAGGGGAATTTGGGATTGTGATGTTAAGTTGAAAAGGGGGAAGTTTGTGGGCTTGGCCCTAAGGAAACAAAGGAAGGGGGGTAGGAAGTTTGGGGGGGGAAATAAATGGGATTTGGGGTTGAAATTTTAAGAAAGGGGTTTTGTAAGGGAATAATATTTTATGGAAAAAAGGGAAAAAAGAAAAAATATGAATGGAAATTCAAGTTTTTGGATTAGTATTGGAGCAAAGGGTTATAATTAGGTGTAAAGATGAGGGGAAGATAAGGGTATTTTTAGGAGAAGAGAGAGTTTTGGGATTTAAGGAAGAAAAGAAGCTTTAAAAGGAGAGGGAAGGTTTTAATTGTGAGAGGGACTTGGGAAATAAAAAGTAGGAGAAACTAAGAGAGTAGGTGGGGGTAAAGTTTGGGGAGGTTTAAAATTGATTAATGTTAGCTTTGATGATTTAAGGAAAGTGGGGTTTAGGGGATAGGACATTTAATATTTAAGAAAAAGGGAAAAAAGTTTTCAATAGAAGTAAAAGAAATGACAGGAGGGAAGGGATTGGGAAAAAAGAGGAGAGTTAAGGATGGGGAAACAAAGGTTTTAAAAAGGGGCAAAGGAAATTAGTGATCAACTTTTGTTGTAAAATAAATGGAGGGGTAAAAGGTTTAAGGAAAACCAGGGGAAAAAGGATTTTAGGGAAAAAGGGAAGGTTTTAAATGGGAGGAGTTAGGGTTTAAGATAAAAATTTGAGGAATTGTTAATGGAGAAAATAGGGGCAATGGGGTCAAGGGAAGGGGTAATTTTAAAAAGAGGTTTGAGTGTTGGAAGTTTGTGGTTAAAGGAAAGGGGCAAGGAGGGGGATTGGGTGGAATGATGATGTAAAGGGTGGGGGAAAGTTTGCATTGGGAATTTTTTAAATAAAGTATGGAAGGAGGGAAGGTATAGGAGGAAGAGAGAAGTTCTTTTTAAGGGAAGATAAAAGAGAGCAAAAATGGAAAGTTGGTGAGATGTATCCAAAAAATTTTGGGTTTAAATAAGAAAAATTTGGGTAGAGGAGATAGTTGAAGCAGAGAACAAAGGATTTTAGAAATAGGGGGGGAAGGTTATTAACAGTGAAATTAAGGAGGGATTGGGGTAAAGGTTAAAATTTTTGGAAATTTTAAAAGTTGGAAAGGATAGGGGGGATAGGGGGCTGTGGATTTTCGTGTATGGTGAGGAGGTATATGTAGGAGTGGGGAAAAGTTTTTGAGGTGTGGGGGAAGTTGGAAGTAGGTAATGAAAGGGGAAAGGGGCGGAAATTGTTTTGAAAAGATTAGAAAATGTTAGCAGGGTGGTTTTATAGTTTTGGGGGGTTGGTCAAAAATAAATAGGGGATGGAAGAGGGTAAAAAAAAGGTAAAACCAAAGGGGGGTTGGCAAAAAGCTGTTCCCTTTTTATAAAGGCGGGGATTTAAGAGAAATTGCCCAAAAATTTAGGGGGAAAAGAAAAATTAAAGTGTTTCGGAAAGTGTAGGTTAGAGATAAAAAAAAATAGGTTTAAGAGGGGAATAGATTTAGGGGGGGGATAAGGAGGGCTTTAGGGAAAATGGGGTGTGGGAAGGGTTTAATGAAAATAGGTGAACAAAAATTTGATAAGGAAAGAGTGTGGTTGGGATTAGGATTTGGAAAAGGCGTTTGGAAAGGGGGAAAGGGGGAATGTTTGGAGATGTTTTCAAGTTATGGTTTTAAGGGGGTAGGTTACGAAAGAAGTGGAGTTTAGGGGATGTCGTGGTCTACAAGTGTATGTAAAAGAGGGAAATTTTTTAAATTTAAAAGTGGCCTTTGCCCAAAGGTGGAGGAGGGTTTGGGGGGTTTCAATTTAAAGAAAGGGGGAAACAGAATATTCGAGGGTCTTGGAAGAGGGGGTGGGTTTAAAAGGGGGTTGAGGATAACAAGGTTTTGGGTTTTCCAAAGGGGGCCTTGGATTCACGGCTTTCGTGAGGGTGTTTGAAAGGGGAAAGGGCAAATTGTGTAATTTTGGTGGTTGGGGGGAAAAAGAAATTTGAAATTAAAAGGAATTACCCGGAAGAGGAGTAAGGGTTAAAGAGGTAACAAAAAATTAGTGTAAAGAGCCGTTTGGAGAAAGTATGGAGGGAGGTGAAGTTTTCTTTTTGGGATGCCGGGGGGAAGCGGATGGGATTAAAAAAATAAATAATATAAATTGATGAGGGAAAAAATTCTTTTTTCACTTAGAAGGGCTGGGAGACAAAAAATTTTCATTGACAAAGGGGGAATGAGAGTTTAAGTTTAGTTTACCGTCATATGGTGTGTGAAAACTTTGGGTGATTTTGGAAGTTTTGTTCAGGAGGTTTAAAGGCCCCGGGAGGAAAATGAAATTCGTTCCTGAGGGAATTGTGGTGTAATATAAGAGAAATCGTTTTTGGAAATAAAGGTGCCGTAAAACAAAAAGTTTTGTTCCAAGGGGTAGGAAGGGGGTTTATTTTGGGTTTGGAATTTAAAAATGGGGGAAAAGACTATTGAAAGTTGACAATTTTATAAAAGGGGAGGTGGGGTCTCACTGGGGTTGGAGCAGGGGGTAAGTAGGTTTTTTGTCATTATTTTAAAACAAAAGCTGCTGTTTAGTAAAATGGGACCCTTTATTTTTTTAATAATTACTTGCTTTAATTTAAATTTAACTTTTTAAAATTCATGAAAACCGGGACCACTTGAAATTTTTTCCCCGTGGGGAAACAAAGGCCTGCCTCAGGAGGATGTCAGTTTAAAAAACCCCGTAGTAAAGCACCCTTCTGGAAACAAGGATGGAGTAAAGGATGTAGTCACGGGACCTCCTTGGGGGAACCCAAAGGTGCTAATAAAAAAATTATAAATAAAATCTATAATAAGGAGTGTAAACAAAATTTCCCACAGTAAAAGGTCGAAGGAAACAGGTGGCAGTAAAAAAGGACTGCCAGTTTTTCCACGGGAGTATCATGAGCTTGTTAAGTTGTTAGTTACCGACAATGTGTAAAATAAAAAGGACCAAATACACAAGGACTTGATTTAAAAAGGTTCGCTCGCAGGAGCTTTCCCCCTTATCCAGGCTCCCCGAGGAGCGAACCGGCCCAAAAAATGTCACATTAGATGCATTGTTCCTTTTACTTTACATATTGTAAAAAATCAAAAAAACTTTGGGAAATAAAGGCCTGCAAGTCAAACATAAAAAGTTTTATAGTTACAAATTGCTATAAGTTTATTTGGGTTATTTATAAAATTTAAGAAGTCTATTGAAAATATTGCAAATTTATATTTAAATGGAAAAAGGGAAAATTGCGTTCATTTTCTCGGGTAATGACGCCAGGGTAGTTTGTCTATATTAATTAATATTTATAACAAAAGCTTCATGTTTTAAAATTTGCCCATATTTTATTATAATAAATTCCCATATAAGCAAATTCATTTAAATTTCTTTTTAAATTCGCTGCAACAGCCATGGAAACTTTTTTTTTTTTTTTGTTAAAAATTTCTTCTCGCGTTTAACAATGGCCTCGTTAGTAATCAAAAACCTCCTTCAGTTACTTAGGACCTTTTTCATAACAAGGAACCTTGTCAGTAACACAAGGATCTCGCTCAGTAACACAAGGACCTCGCTTAGTAACACAAGGACCTCGCTTAGTAACACAAGGACCTCGCTCAGTAACACAAGGACCTTGCTCAGTAACACAAGGATCTCGCTCAGTAACACAAGGACCTCGCTTAGTAACACAAGGACCTCGCTTAGTAACACAAGGACCTCGCTCAGTAACACAAGGACCTCGCTCAGTAACACAAGGCCCACACATAATGTTTATCTAGTTTATGAAGAATATATTATTAATTTGACTATACACATTTAATACAGCTACCAATATCTTCAACATTTGCAGTAATAAAACTAGAACATGTACACGAAAGTAGAAGAAATGGGAATGTATACGTACAGAATGATGTTGAAATATCACCATTCTGATTTTTGTTGATAATTCATTTTGAATATTCTCTTCAAATTTTTACACAAGTGTTTTGTATAAATTATGCATTTATTAGTTATATAGATTTTGGAAAACATTAGTGAAGCAAGAGATAACGTTGTCTGATGACCATGACTTTGCTCTCGCATAACAAGAGCGGAGGGAGGTGGTACAGCTCTTGGGCTCCAGGTCCTACGGGGAGCAGGTTGAAATATTCTACGTGGATTAATACCCAAACTTCGCGAGTTAAATTATTTTTCATTTTCCGATAGATAATAGTAAGAATTTCCTCCACTATCGATTTCTTTCAGTTGTACTTTTTAAAATCACGCTGCAAGTAGACAGTGGAACGGGAAGTCGTACTGTAAGAGGTTTTATTTTAGTGTTTGATTCTAAAAATAGTATATAAGTACTTGCGGTTAATGCCATTTTCTGTGTGTCCTCGAGTTATTGGTCTTTTCACTTTTTTCAAAATTTTATTATTTTTGGCCGTTTGTATATAAACGGCCATTATTGACCCGTTTTGTCTTCATACGTTCTCTCTCTCTCTCTCTCTCTAGCTTTTCTTAATTGTTTCAAATAGGGGATACACAAAATAATAATAGTTTTCCTCCTTTCTCTTTCCCTCTTGTCTTTTCACTCTATCTTCCTTCTATTTTCCTATCACAATTCTTAACCATTCTACTTTTTCCTCGGAAGAAGGTTAAAGCAAAAACAATAAATGTATATTTTTTTTACAGCCTCAGACAGCTAGATGTGCAGCTGTGATTATCATGTAGCATCCCCAGCACCTACCCCTGCTAGCTGGAGAACCTCACCACTAGCCTCTCAGATGTCTGCTTCCTGCAAGCCTCCAGCATCAGGGTTTCATCTGTTATTTTCATCCATAGTCTTTATCTCCATAGCTGTCAAGTGTATAAAATACATTCCCTTCCCCAAGAATGTAAACCATTATTTTATGGTATCTTACGATTGCACTGATGCTCCTCATTGCATGTCAAAATTTGGAACCACTTTTTAAATTAGATTGTAAACATACTTTTGTTTCTTACCTATATTTATATTGGATGATATTTTTTAATTGTGCATTTTTTTTAATCCTGTGATCACATGCATATTAATGAAACTGTAATTCGTATTAAATACTCCACTATTCACGTTGAGTTTTTTTTCTCAAATTTATAGATTTTTGTTTTTACTAATATTTCCACTTTTAGTAATCATAACAGTCCAGAGAAGTGAGGCGTTTATGATAGATGGAAACAATAAATTACATAATTAGAGAAACATATTTGCAAAACAATGCATATTGTGTGAGATTAACTGGGAAAGTTTTCTGAACGGATTTTTGAAATGCAAATATTTCTCAGTTTTAAGTATTAAAAGAAACATTTGGTATCAATATGAGAAAAATATATGTTCATAAATCTGACTTGATCGTAGCTATAACTATTTTAAAAAGCACTATCGTAGCCTTCCCCCTTTCTCTCTATGATCACCACTAGGAAGGTTTGCTTCCGAAGACGCATAAGATGGAGAGCAATTACCTAAAATTTTTGACTTCTTTGTTATTGACAAATATCTTGCTATTCACAACTAACCTACATGTTGGAGATGAAACTAACGACGTTTCGGTCACTCTTGGGCAATGGTCCGAAACGTCGTTAAGTTTCATCTCCAGTTATCGAACTTGCTGTGAAATGTTCCAGCCACGATATTGTTACTTTTATCTTTTGATGTGATGCAAGTTTCTTTATCATTTATTTAGGTGTCTGCACCATTCATAAATGTACTATACTCATACAATTATTTATTGATCCTTCGTATTATTCACTAGGATTTTAAGGGGAAAGTCAGTTCCCGTGTCTTCTAATATGTTATTTTTCCCCTATAATCTACCTTGTCCATAATTACTATAGCATTTGCATTGTCTGTTTTAGTATGGTGAAGACTAGGATCTTTCCTTAATTCATGGTATAACTTAACAAATCTTTGAGGACAATTACGCTCAGTCCTCTGCAACACAGATATGTTATGTTATACCATGAATTAAGCAAAGATCTCACCTTACGAAAGCAGACTGTGAGAAATTGCCTACTACAGGGTAGTACCTGAATTATTACATGCAAATAATCTGGGTGAGGTAAGTGGGACTTAGTGGCAGTAGGTCGCAGAACTGTCACTCCCTCGATGCCCACTCCATCACTACTCTCATAAAAAGCTAGACCTGACATTAAATTAATAATTATAATATTAAAACCAGCTACTCTGGTAAATTAAAATTGTGTGGACTGTATATTTTGGTTCATTTGCTGCGTACACAAAATATAACTATAAGTACCATACAAGTACCATAACTATTAGTACCATACAAGTACCATAACTATTAGTACCATACAATAGTGTTACTAGAAAAGAAATTTGTATTACCACTTACCATTTAATTATTGGATCACAGTTTTTATGTGTAACACACCCCAATACTACCCTAAAAGCTAGAGTTTATGATGGCCAACGCAAAAGCTATTATACATTATGGGTATGCGTCACTTAGCTAAGGTGTGCTGCTGAGAAGAATCAGTCCCCTATTTTTCCGTCCTTGTAGCCGAATTGTAAGGGGTTTCCACACTATTTATCCCAATTCTTCAGCGGGAACGTGTCAGCAATTTCGAAATTACGCATTGAGGCCGATATACACCAAATAAACTTCGATGATGCCTGATTACATTTCACAATTAACAGACCAGTGTTCACACATTCAGTTTTACTATGGCGTCCTCCCGTCTGCTTCGCTATTGTTCTACATCCCCCCCCCCTCACTCGAAATTTCTCGAAGAGTCAAACCAGCATCACAATTTGATACACAGTTATTATTTTCAAATTTACACATGCTGAATTTAGGAAAATTCAAAAATTTTCAGACAGTAAATGCGATAGTAATTATGGACAAGGTAGATTATAGGGGAAAGAATAAACATATTAAGAGACAGGGAAACTCACGTTCCTCTTAAGGCTCTATTATATTTTACAGTATTACTGTTAAGAAATAAAAGGAAACTAATGTCACATCCGAACAATAATTTTAGGGTTTAAAAAATGGTTCCTAATTTTCACTTCACTGTAGTTTCTCACCATGATATGTTAATTGACGTAATAATTTCCTCACAAAATAATGGATTGCTACTATAGGATATTGAGTTTATACAATAGACTACTGTGTTATAATGTCACATGCAAGCAAAACCAGTGTTTATCAGAAAAAAAAATCACACACACACACACACACACACACACACACACACACACACACACACACACACAAAGGTACACAAGGTACACAAGGTACACAAGGCTCCGAGAACCTTCGTGTTTTTGAGGGGTGCAACAACCCCTAGCAGTAATCAGTGGTAGTGACAAAGTCAGTGAACAAACCTACGAGTGATAACTATAGTTATTAGTTGAAAAAATTCGAGGGGAAACCTAAATTCAGTATTTTCTTTTAAAAGTGCCAAACCGTTGTGGATCTACTAGGCACTGTTGCCACACAGATACAAACATAAAAATATCAAAGTGAGTGTGGAAACGGGTGATCAAGAATTACCAGCGTTTGGTTAACAAGCGAAATGTGGGGCACCGTAATGTGAGAGTGAAAAAGTTAATAGGCAAAAGGAGAAAGAAAAAATAAAATATACAACAAGGGAAGGTGGCAGTAGGCTTACTGAAGCAGTGACGTCACAACAGTTTGTATGCCATTATACATATAAAGTGTAACACCGAATGTGAAGTGTATTCTGTAATAAGTGAAAAGTGAAATCACTTGAGGAACGCGGGATGCATGAGCATTTATGATTATAAACATCACGGGTGAAGGAGTTACAAATTAGTGAGAGAAGGCCTATGTACGACCACTACGTCATCAGCTTCTGGCAACTTGTCATCACAACCGCTGTCAGCGCAAGTATTCCACCTGTTGAGGTTGCATATTGCAAGATTGAGTCTGGTCCTGCATCACTGTTAGATACTGGTCACTCACTCCTGCAAGCCATTACCAGAATTAGAGTAGAAATAGCATAGAGGACAGTGCAAGGTGTAAAGCGGTAGTAAGGGATATGTCAGACACTTAAGCTGAGACAAGCTAAATTTTACAACCTAGCTACTTTCTGAATTTTAGAAGTAGAATCGATAAGTGTTACAAGTATTGGTAAGCTTAGAATTACTGGTATGTACCGGTATTTATTAGCAGTATGAATACTTAGAAGTGGGGGCACACACACACACACACACACACACACACACACACACACACACACACACACACACACACACACACACGCACACACACACATACACATACACACACACACATACACACACACATACACACACATGCACACACATACACACACACACACACACACACACACACACACACACAAGTGGAGACAGTGTAGTGGGTCACAAGCGCCAGGCTCCGAGGATCTTAGTGCTTTTAGGGCGTGTTTTAGCAGCTAGAAGCAACCAGTGTTAGTGACAACGTCAGTGAACAACCCTACAAGTGATAACCAATGTATTAGAAAAAAATAAATAAAGTAAAGGCGAGAGAAAGCCTGAAATTATACAACAAAATTTCAAAGTGCCAGTTCGTTGAGGCCTAGTGGGTGGGCACCTGTTGGCCACATTGTTACATAAATAACAAAGTACAAAGCAGGACTATTAAAGAAGAAAAGACCAAATAGAAATTAAGAGAGGGTGGTACGCGACAAAATGAGAATGAGAGCACACAGCTGAACAGCTAGCCAGAAAGGGATATATATATGTATACATCAATAGAGTAATTAGCAGAGTGTGGAGCAGTAGGCCTGAGGAGTAAGCGCTGCCATAACAGGTTGGGTGTCATCCACAAATAAGTAGTGTCTTACCAAAAGTGAAGTGTAAATAAAAAAGAGCAGTATACAATGATAAGGTGTGGTAAATGAGGACGTCCAAAAGGGCAAGAGAAAAGTATAACCCCGAAGAAGTTCCCAGAGAGCGGCGGAAGGGCGAGGTGTAACGAGTGTCCATCGTACAAGCGAGCATCGTACAGTGAGCATCGTATCATCAGCATTCTGGATGGACTCCCCTCTGATAACGTACAAATCACTTGTTTGTGGTGGCGGAAGTCTGAGGGTAGAGCTGGCCCGGCCGGCGGACACTGGTAGCTGGCTATCTTAAGACCCTGGCGCCAAGCGATTTATCATACACAACCACACCTAGCAGTATAGGAAGATAAAATTTGTAGGAGCAAGGGACTAATGGGACTACAGCCCTGACAACAGTTTCGAAGATAGTTTTAGGACACAAGACAGTACAATTGAGAAGCAAGTATTGGGTACACATGTAAGTAATAAGGTATGCATAACTGTGAAAGAGTGGACTTGGGTTTTAACACACGCTAGTAATAAATTATTAAACTACTCCTCATGTTAATGGTATCTCATTAGTATTTACGGGTACAACAGAGTGAGTTTGTATTTCCTGGGACAAATATAAAACAACTGACCGTGCTCACACACTACACACAACGCAGAGCACGACACATAACACACTGGGGCCCCGGGAAGCTAGGTCTCGAACCCGAAACCACAACTAGGTGAGTACACACACAGCTATCCTGGAATTTGACCCGCCACAACCCACAGACCCCCTCACTCTCCCCACCTTTTTCCTCCCTCGCTCATAACCTTTTTTTCCCCTCCCCCTACTCGCTCACTCACTCACTTCCTCTCTCTCTCTCTCTCTCTCCTCTCTCTCTCCTCCTCCCCTTGATCCCTCTCTCTCTCTCTCACTCTCTCTCTCTCACCTCTCTCTACTCCATCGTTTCTCTCTCTCTCCTCACCTCTCTCCCCTTTCTCCCCTCTCACCCTCTCTCTCTCTCCTCTCTCTCACTCTCTCTCTCTCTCCCGTCCTTCCTCTCTCGCCTCTCTCCTCCATCACTCTTCCTCTCCTCTCTCTCTCTCTCCCTCTTCATCTCGCTCTCTCTCTCTCTCTCACCACTCTCTTCTACTCCTCTCTTCTCTATCCCCTCCTCCTCTCTTCGTTCTCTCCTCTCTCTCCCGTCTCCTCTCTCTATCTCCCTCTCTACCTCTTCC